GAAAAGCCTACATCTCAAGGGAACAAACACTTACAATAGTGCCATTACCAGACATCTCTCTGATACGGGTCATGAGGTGGAAATCGCGAACATTATCAATAGACAAAAAAGCTCAGTTTTCCTCAAGTTCGCAGATGCAATCTCTATCAAACGTCTGAATCTCGATTTATATGTTCAAAAATAAGCAGTTATCAGTCTTTTCCTACCCTGGTAACTGGATGTCTTTATTCTCTCTTTCATTTGATTACGCAATCTTTGGCTTTAACCTCACTTCCCTTATATATTATGTAATTTTGCTTGTCTCTTGTCTCTATGATGTAAGTTGAACTCAGCACATTGTTACCCAATTTATTAGTTACTCATCAGTATACTCAGTATACCAACAGCCACAGCAACAACAACAGACAGCAATCAGCATAAATGGAAGAAACCTGAAAGAAACTACCTCCTTTACCTACTTGGGAAGCATTGTTTCAACTACAGGCGGAACTGACGAGGATATCAAAGCAAGGATCGGGAAAGCAAGGCAAGCTTTCATTACTCTCAAGTCTGTGTGGAGGTCAACAGCATTCAGCGTCAAAAATAAGATAGAGATTTTCAACTCCAATGTGAAGTCAGTACTACTATACGGATCAGAGACTTGGCGTGTCACAAAGAGCACCTCAAACAAGCTACAGACCTTCATTAACAGGTGTCTTCGCTCAATACTCAAGATCAGAAGGCCGGAAAGGATCAGCAACAAAGATCTCTGGGAGCGAACCAACCAGGAACCGATTGTGAAACAAATAGGCAGGAAGAAATGGAGATGGATTGGCCACACTCTGAGGAAACCATCAAGTGACATCACTAGACAAGCCATTGCTTGAATGGAACCCGAAAGGGAAGCGACGAGTTGGTCGTCCAAGGGTGACCTGGAGGAGATCATGTGAAGAGGAGATGAAAGCATGTGGGCAGACCTGGAGCCAGGTGAAAACTCTAGCAGAGAACCGAACGCAATGGAGACGCATGGCTGAAGCCCTATGTTCCTCTAGGAACTAAAGGAAATAATAATAATACTCATCTCTTGCCTTTATTCCGCAACTCCTTTACCATTGTATCCAAGAGTTTTTTTGTTTAAACTTGAACTCTCCGGATAAAAACTATAGAAGTGTAATTTTCTGAGCATTCTTTATTAAGTTTGGAACTTCTTGTCAACTAACATCAAGTAAGATTTTCAGGTATGCTAAAATTTTTCTGCACATGGACTTAGCAATGATTTCTTCAGGTTGTACGCAGCTGATGAAAAGCCAATGAAATTAACAATGATGGTACCGTCTTATTGTTTTTGTTCAAATTCAATAAGGGGAATAAATGTATGAAATTAGTGATTGAAATAAATAAATAAATTAATCCGTCTTACAATGGATTTCAGCAGACAAACAGTCACAAACAGAGAGAGAGAGGGAGCTTATTCCACCTTGATTTAGCACGCTTAGAATAATCACTGAAGTTTGCCTCTTACTCTCTGTATATCTACCCACTCAAATAACTGTATCGATTTAACTGGAGACACTAAGAAGACAGTGGCTTATTGCATTACTCATGACGTATATATATATATATGGGTTGTGATGTAACATGTTTTTTCCAACGGGAGACAAAGTCGACGGAATAGAGCGTAGGTTGAGCAAATAATTGATACAATCAACATGCACATACATTCGCACATGCGAACGCTGCTACATGTATGTTTATTTCAGGCACACACACACATACATACGCAGATATACGCATACACAGAGAACAACATCCATTATTATCGGATAAACTTAAAAAATTGGGAACAGAACAAAAATAAAACGAAACAAGATAAAACTATCAGTCTCTTGATGTAACGTTTATTATAACGTCTTACTGTTTTCCGTCTCATTTTTGGTGATTCGGAAATGTATGACAGAGTATATATGTGAAACACAACGCTTTTTGGTTGCTATTTTTTATTATTACTATCGAAACTCTTGTCTGTAATTTTATGCTCGAAATGACAATTACCAACCAGTGAAGTGGAACAAATCGTTATTCAATGTCGGAAATTCATGATATACTGTAGAAATAGAACGGTGGATTTTAAAATCCAAGAGCAGCTTACTTCCCAACACTAGTGCATCTGTAGTTCAGTGTTAGAATCCTGACTGGTCCAGGTTCGATTCCCGGAAACGGACGCATTCCATTAAACTTCGTGTAATCGATTAGTAGTAACCTCGGTAAGTAGGGGCGGGGTACGAATGAAAGTCGGGTGTTCAGCTGGCAACTCAACTTCTACTGAAACGTCTAAGCTGAAAGACTGAAGTCTTTTGTTTCATTTGGAACGCAAACACTTGGGGAAAAAGAACTACTATACTACATGTCAGGTGAATCATAATGAAAAACTCCGAGAAGCCTTCGAAGTGGATACCGGAGTAAGACATCACTGCCTACTATCACCTACGATGATATTACTGTTTGTGGTGAACTGGTTCATTCAACAGACCTTGAGATGCAAGAGGACAGACACAGATTAGGCCAACAAGAAGACTCTAGATAATCCGGACTTCGCAAATGATTTATGTCTAATGTAACACAATCTCGAACATGTACAGGAGAAAACAAACACTGATACAATATGATATGATTATGCTAGCAATATCGGTGGCATAGCGGTTAGGACGCTCGCCGACCATGCACATGGTCCGGGGTTCGATCCCCGGCTGATGCACTCCTTTACCTCGCTAAGCCAGAAATAATGCTGGTGAAGAGGAAAGGTTGGGCATGAGGTTTGCAGCTCCATCCTGTAAAATAAACACTGCTACAGAAACTTCAAGCCACTAGCTTGAAGCCCTATTTTCACTGGGGAACGTGAAGGAAAAAAGTGCTAGCAACGTTACCCTATTTAGTAATGCTGCATCACTGTGTGATATCTGAAATGAACTTATCTAATCTGGAATTACATTCTGCAACAGTGCCCAAGTTTCTACAATTACATCAATGAAAACCAACTAGTTGGTAGCAGAAGCAAAGAAGACAGGACTTCAAATGAACATAGAAAAGACAGAATTGATGAAGGCGACCAATGGAAACATCTGAAATCAGTTCGAAAATCCACTGCACTCATCATAAAGAGCAGGATTTGGATTTTTTACAATAATATCTCCATTGTTTACAGACTTGACGTAAGCGTCACAATTTCCATCATTTCCAACAAGCAACGGACTTTTGTCACTTGCTTCCTTTCCTCCATACTGAAGATCAGATGGTCAGTAAGTAGTAAGCACGAAGGAACTTTGGTGACATACAAAACGAGAATCTAGCTCTCAGAAGGAGATGGAAGAGGACGGATTGGAGACATGCTGAAGAGACTGCTGAGTGGCGTCATGAGACATAGAGATCTTCAGTTCGAAGCTAAATGCGAAATGACGATATGAGCGTAGATTCGAGGGTAATATTGAGGAAAAAAAGGGGTGAGACGGAAGCTTATGGGGAGTCGCGAAGCCAGAGAAACAAGACTTCAGAAAAGGTGATGACATAGCTATTTGCTATTGAAGCCCTGTATTTCAGTCGTAACCCAAGAAAATAATAATAACGGTAAAAAAACGACCATTTCACCCCAGTTTAGGACTCTTCATTAGCGCTCACTTTTCATTAGAATTGGAAGTGACTAAGACAATGATATTTAAATTGACAGTTTGTTGTTAGATGGATGAAGTCAATCAGCAGGAAACCTTGGAACAAGGTTCTAAGATTCTAACCCACGTCAGCCAGTGCTGCAGTCAGAGACGCTACCATTGAGCCATCCGGGATCACTAGTGACCTCTTGTGGGACTGTACTGTACTGATTCATTTCACTGGAACTGGGTAACACGGGTTGGAATCTTCGTCAGTAGGGATATGAGTTCCTCCAAGATTGCAGATACGTCTTGCTGACGAATGTCAACAAACACGAAACCTGGATCTCAGCAGGGTTTTCTGCCGACTGCCTATAACCATCTAATATCAGCAATTGGTAGTAGAGTGCATCATGATGCCGAGTCACCTAGAATGGTGGCCACATCGCAAAACTGACGGTCCTATAAAACTCACTCTGCACCAAACAAAGGACTAGGCGCATGATACTAGTTACTAACTAGTGCCCATTCTAAATTGACAGTTCTGATTAATTTCAATGAGAAGCCATGAATTTCGGGACTCCACTGTGTTGGGCGGGTATGAAGTGGATGACGCTGATATATAGACTGCACAACCAATCAAGACCGAGCTCATCGGAAGCGACATTAAGTACCAATTATGGAAGAATTCCAAAATAAGAAAATACTCTAACCTAACACACTAAAGTAAGGAGAACAGTGAATGGAAGCTTCACAATTAAAATGCTCAAAAAATACAACTACACATCATTTCAGTATAATATGGCAGTAGGAAAACAATTCGGCTGCAAAACAGATTTGTATCTGTCAACCTAACAAACTTGAATAGCTATTTTATTTGTCATTGTGGTGTATGCTGGAATAGTAAGTCATTAGATGCAGGTTGGTATCTTTCTCGTGACGCAGTTATTTTTAGTTCACTTACGAGTTCAAAGGGTTACGCGATTAAATGTTTACAATCAAGTGGATTGCATAATGTATAATTCAGGAAAAATGAAGAGTAATTAAGAAATAAGCGAATGTTCAGGCTGGTTCATGATGAACTTGTTTAATTGTACGCCAAATGTATGTAGCTCCAAAGCTTCAGCCAAACTGTGGTTGATACACATACAGGAGGACACAGTTTTTCTTTATTTTTTGAATATAAAATAGGAATGCTCTTTTAACCGCACTCTTCAGGCTTTGTGTTATTGCTTCATGGGTGTTATTAGCAAGAAACTGCAGTTACTGAAAAGAACATTCTTTGACCGCCGGTCATTCTTTTGAAATTTTTAACGGGCATCTTGAATCAGTTAAAACTCTAATCAATAATTTATCCTTTTCCTATTGTTTATCTCACAGTCAAAACTAAAAATTAGCTTATACAACGATACTAATGGTCGAAAGCATACATGTTGTCAAACAGACCCAGAATTAATCAGACCCAATTCAATGAATCTAAAACAAAATCAGTTCACTCATAAACACCATCATCATCAGGTGAGTGAATCACTGGGTTTTTGTTTGTTATTCCTTTGTGTTCCAAGCTGGAAATAGGGGTTCATGCACGAAGTTTCATTAGTAATCGTGTTGGTAATTTCAAGACCAACCTTTCTACTGTCTTTACCTGGGCTCACCACTTTTTTTTTTTTATCCTTCACGTTCCCCAGTGGAACATAGGGCTTCAAGCTAGTGGCTTGAAGTTTCTGTAGCAGTGTTTATTGTACAGGATGAGGTTGCTAGCCTCATGCCCAACCTTTCCTCTTCACCAGCATTATTTCTTGCTTAGTGAGGTAAAGGAGTGCGCCGGCCGGGGTTCGAACCCCGGACCATGTGCATGGTCGGCGAGCGTCCTAACCGCTATGCCACCGACGCACAAAAAAATATGGAACGCTTCACGATTTTGCGTGTCATCCTTGCGCAGGGGCCATGCTAATCTTCTCTGTATCGTTCCAATTTTAGTATATGTACCGCTCACCACTGGCTGTTAGTAAAGTAGGTGAGGTCTGTAAATGTGTTCGTCAGTGGCCGTAGGAATCGATCTCTGGACCACGCGTGTGTATGTATGTGTATGTGTGTTGGTATTTGACAAGCATTCCACCGATGCATAAAGTGAGTTAGTAAGCGATTCAGTTGTATACTGTTGAATTTTTCTTCATTTCATATTATTAAATGTACATGGCTTTTTTCTAAAAAAAAATGTAAGGGTGTGTTAACTCGTAAGCATAGTCGAAGCCTCCGCACTAGGTGATACCAACATGTCAATACAGTGACCGAATAATGTATTGTTAAACATAAAAATCGAATAAGTGAAAATGCAAAAATTCAATCAAGCGAATGAAGTGGGATGCGTAAGTTAACTACGTCTTCTTTTTTTTCCTCTCCATTTTCCCCACTAATTAATTAATTAATTAATGAGAATGAGAATTTAAGTTTAATTTAATTTTTTCAATCTGTATTTAAGCGATGTATAGCGAACGAGTGATGTATATCCAATTATTTATTTGTGTGTGTGTGTGTACATGTGTCACATTTCTACTCATTACTGTGTACATTTATCTATACAAGCATACATAAATACGCGAATATAGACAAACTCTTGTATATACACAAACACACTAACACAAGCGTACATACACGCAGACTACGCACTTACATCTCTATGCTTAAAAGTCGATATAACAAAATAGTGTAGGCGGATAGGATTTTAAATACTCCGTTAATTTAGAAAAAGTAAAATGTTCCTGTAACCTTGTAATTTTATCAAATAATATATAAATGATAATAACAATGGTAACGGTATTGTGAATAATATTAATAATAAGAGAGTATGTTATAGCCGATACTATCCATTGTCCACTAAAAGTGAATGTCCCACTTCTAGTTTATTAATTCAATAAATTTTTCATTTTCTGATGACTTTTATCTCTATCCCCTTGTTTTTCTGTCTCTCACTCTGTTTCTCTCTCTCCTTTTTTCTGGTAGTAGGTTGTTATTACTTCTCTAAAACAAAACAGCAGAAATTTAATCACAACTTCTATGTAACAATTGAATTTGAACAGGGTATTTTTTTATAAGTTTTCAAACCGTAGATGTTGCGAATTTCTTGGAATAATTTGAGCGCCGAGTCACGTTAAATCATAATAAGTTGCATAAAATAATCACATCGTGTTAAAGAAAAAATTACAAAAAGACAATTTTTCTGAACGTTTCTCTGTGTAAGCCACCACAGCTTCTTCATCAGCAAAATTATTCGGATTTTATTAACCATCAAAATATATAATCAACAATTATATCAACTGAAGTCAGTTTCTTTGAAGGTTACTTGTCGATAGACATTTGTGCCTAAAGGTGGACGTTTCATGCACAGTCTATGTTCATGAAACGAGATAGAATTTGTAAGTCTAGAAAAAATATCAGCTACAGCAGTGCATGCTATGGACAGCGAACATAAGATCGACTTCGACAATGTGGAAATTACTCTTTTCGGCGATATCATTCTCAAGCTGTACAAACCGCAAATTTATAGTAATTTCTCTTGGCAACAAAAGGAATATTTCCAAAGATGTGTTAATGCAATTGTTAATTTTTGACAACAAATTACGTAATTTAGAAGGCGTTAATCGGTTAGAAACTAAAATAAAGTTATAAAAGTAGGTTGGGTGACGTAATCTAATTGCTAGGGTTCAGTGAAAAATGAATCAGAGTCAAGTTAATAATCTGAGTAGAATTCACTTGAAAATGAATGAGAGTTAGGTTAATAAGCTCAGTAGAATTCACTTGAAAATAAATCAGAGTTAAGTTGATAAGCTGAGTAGAGTTCACTTAAAAACAAACGAAAATGGAGTTAGCAACAGTCGTCATGATGGTAGAGATTTAATAGAGGGTGGGGGTAGAAAATAATGCAATTAAGAAACAGACAAACAAAGAAGAAAGAGGTAAGACAAAATTACGTATTTGGTGTTGAGATAGATCAGGACCATTGTAGATTTAGTGACTGAACAAACTTCTTTCGTATGCAGAGTTCAGGATTCAATATGTGAATTGCCATTGCTTCTGCAGTTTGAAGAAGTTTAATTCGTACTCTTTTGGCAAGATTCCCACGTATTGTGTAGATAACTGAGAAGTTGTTTTGTGGGTTTGCTTGGTGTCCGGATTCGATCAAGTGTTCTAGGATAGAGCTGTGGCGGGGGGATCTTCTTTCTCCTTTATAAAACCATGAAGGTAAGTGTTCGTCACCCAACCTACTTTTATAACTTTATTTTAGTTTCTAACCGATTAACGCCTTCTAAATTACGTAATTTGTTGTCAAAAAATTAACAATTGCATTAACACATCTTTGGAAATATTCCTTTTGTTGCCAAGAAAAATTACTATAAATTTGCGATTTGTACAGCTTGAGAATGATATCGCCGAAAAGAGTAACTCTTTGCTGAACGCCTTTTCTTTTCTATGACTGAATGGGAATTTTCAAATTAATGTGGAAATTCTATGAAGAGGCTTTCATTCACATTAAGAAAGGCTGAAGCCTAAAGCCTTGTATATTCTAACCACATCGAATGCAGTAAATAGGATAGAAGAAATAGACTTATCAGCTAGATTCACCGCAAAAGGAATGAAGGTGACTATTATCAAATGCTACGCACAATGTTACAAACAAAGCGGAACAAGAGAAGAGGGAAGATTTTAATAGACAACTACAAACAGTAATTGATAACATCCCGAATGGTGACATCAAAATCCTCATCGGCGACATGAATGCAAGCCGGGACACGATAATACAGGAAGAGGACCCATCATCGGTCGAGAGGCTGTCATCTGGCGAAATGAATGATAACGGAGAATTATTTGCAGACTTCCATGCTTTCAGTGATCTGGTGAGTGTAGGCAGCGTGTACAAACACAAGGACATATACAAAGCAACATGGAATTCGCCTGACGGATACACCACAAACCAGATAGATTTCATCTCAATGTCGCTCACGGAAAGGCAGACGTAGCCTGCTGGATACAAAGTCGAGAAGAGGAGCAGATGTGGGCTCTGACCATCATCTAGTTCTAGGAACCTTCAAGGTGAAGCTGAAATCCTTCAGAACAACTGGAGACAGGTCACTGTAATTCAAGTTCAACATTCAGAAATTGAAGGAGAAAAACAACGGATGCCTTTACTACAGATCTGATCAGAGTAAAGTCAAAGACACTATGTGTTATCACCGAGGAAACCTGCATGGAAGAACATCGTAACTCTCTGAAGGTGATGTTTAAGGAAACGTGTACAACTGTTCTAGGAAGAAAGAAGAGAAAAGACAAGGAATGGCTCACAACGGATACCTGGAAGCTACTAGAAGGAGGATGGTGAAAGAGAAGATAACTCAATGCAAAGATGGACAACAGAAGGAGAAGCTGAGTTCACAACAATGTACACTGCACTGAATAAAGAAGTGGAGAAGAGTGCCACGAGAGACAAAAGACAATTCTATGACAGACTGATTGGCAACTGAAGCAGAACAGGCAGGCAGGCTGCAGGTAAAAGAGACCTAAGGACATTATATCAGATAACCAGGCTGATCGCTATCCAGGAAGAGATCAACCCAGATAATGAAACCAATAAAAGGTGCTCATGTGAACCTGATTACCAAGAAGAAGAAACAAATGAAACAATGGGATGATCAATTCAAGGGACTCTTGAATCGACCATCACTCGCAACTCGCTCAGAAATGCACCACCACCAACAGCATGCACAGAACTGCCTGCCAGTGGACACCACTCCTCCAAACAAAACGAAAATCCTAAATGCGATCAAGCTACTGAAGTCTGGCCAGAAAGGTAGCAGGGTCAGACGGAATTCCTTACCCCGAAACACTGAAGACAGACCCAGAGACTGCGGCAGATGCGTACACGCCATTATTGCGAAAGGTTTGCAAGAAAGAATGGCTACCTCGTCAAGCTGTCAAAGAAGAATGACTTAGGCTTGACTCTGCAAGAACAGGGGTGGAATAATGCTCCTGTGCACGCCAAGTACAATATTAAGTCACATCATCCTGGAGAGAATAAAGGATGCACTGGAAACAGAACTCCGCCAGCCCGGAACAAGCTGTATTCAGGAAAGGCAAATTAGGTGCTGATCAGATTGCAACTCTACGCATCGTAATCGAACGGAGCATAGAATGGCAGTCAAACCTCTCTCTACCTCAACTTTATTTACTCCGAAAAGACCTTCGACGGACAGCGTAGACCGTGAAGTAATTTGGAAACTACTTCTACACTACGGCGTGGATTTCCTAAGTCTTTATCAACCTTATTCAACCACAGTTATATGACAATGCCACTTGTCAGGTGATTCCCAATGAAAAGCTCAGCGAGGCGTTTAAAGTGAATACAGGAGTAAAACAAACTGGCTGTCTATCATATTCGTAATTGTGGTGAACTGGACTATGCGTCAGACTGTGAGTGGAGAGTGAGAAGACATGAATACACTGCGCTTACCGATGATATGACTCTAAAAGATCTGGATTTCGCAGATGACATATGTCAAATGTCATACAAAGTCGAAGACTTACAGGTGAAAAGCAACAAACAGACTGAAGAGTCAGGCAGTGAAGACAGGACCCCAAGTGAACATAGAGAAGATGGGGGTGATAAAGATAACCAAACAACACCAACAGCAACACCAACGAGCCCCAATTACTATCAACGAGAGAGATTTAAGAGAGGTTACTTCCTTCACTTTTCTAGGAGACATTGTTTCAGCTACAGGTGGAACGGATGAAGATGACAAAGTCAGAATCGGAAAGGCAAGATACGCACGCCTTCATCAACCTGAAACCAGTAAAAGATTCGGATTTTCAACACAAATGTGAAGTAAGTCACTGCTTCTATACTTGACTAGAGCATCACGGAAAGCACTTCCAACAGGCTACTGAGGACTTTTATCAACAGCTGCCTTCACTGCATACTGGAGATCAAATAGCTGGTCAAAAATAATTAGCAACAAAAACCATGTGAATAAACCAACCAACAACCTATCGCTCAACAAATATATGGGAGAAAGTGGAGATGGATCGGGTACACACTGAGGAGGCAGTTGAATGACATAGTGCACCAGACCATCGCTAGAATGGAATCCTAATGAGAAACAACGAGTGTGAAGATGGCATGCAGGAGATCGTGTGAGTTGGAGGAGGATATGAGATATCCTGGACAATCGTGGACCCAGTTGAAGAGGACAGTAGAAAATAGAACAAAGTGGAGATGTGTTCTTGAAGCCCTATGTTCCACTCGGAACTCACGGGAACGATAATAATAGTAACAATTCAAATATCTGATGACCGTATACACTTTTCTATTGACACAAATGTCTATCGACAAGTAACCTTCAAAAAAACTGACTTCAATTTACGTAACTGTTGACTATATATTTTGATGGTTAATAGAATCTGAATAATTCTGCTGCTGAAGAAGCTGTGGTGGCTTACACGGAGAAACGTTCAGAAAAATTGTCATTTTGTAATTTTTTCTTAAACACGCTAGTATTGTTTTAAATAATTTACAAGGGTATATTTAGCATATACGACTACATGGTAGATGAAATTATACTGATACAGTACAAAAAGTCAATATGAATGAAGAATATTCTCTTCAGTAGATTCTTCTCTTCAGCTTCTTACAATTATAACATATAATATCTATTATCGTTACAATAATGATAGCCACTTATGCGGCGGATACATTTTTACGTAGAATAACAAATTGATTATAGGGTAACAAAACAAATTGTGTTTGTTAGCTTCGTTGATGCCTTATGTTATTCGTGATGTTATTTCTTTGGTTGACGTTGACTGCTAGTAATGGAATCCAGTAAAATTGATCATTGAGAAAAATTTAAATCTTAAAATTTCAAAACAAACAAACAAACAATACACGTTGACCTAGTGACACATTTTCTTTTAGCCCCAAATGCATAGCGGACGACAGATTTGAAAAACACTTGGTAGGTTTCTCTAGCGTTGATAGGAATTCCCTGCATCAGTGACATAATTGCAGATATAGGTACATTCAGCTGAGTAGTTTTCAAATAGGAACAAAACACCAATCCACCGCTGGTTACCATCAACTAACCGAAATTAAGGCTACTAGTGCGGCATACAGCCTCAACAGCACATCTCCATTTCATCTTGTTTCCTGAAATCCTTTTTAACTGGCTCCATGATTGCCCATAAACTTTCATCTCCTGATTACACACGAGAATCTCCATGAGTCCACACCTAACTCATCGTCTCCCATTCGATTTGCAGTCGGTGGTTGGCCTAGGGTGTTATGTCACTCATTGGTCTCTTCCGCACGGCTCCAATCAATCCATCTCCATTGTCTTCTGCATATTTTCTGGGCAATAGGTTCGTACCAAAGTTCCATTATAGCTAATCCTTTCTGATTATCTGCTCTTTATGATGGGGCAAAGGCTACTGATGATAGAAGTTTTCACTAACCTACTGGAAACAGTTTATGTGACTTGGCAAGGTCGTTGAGGCACATAGAAGCACTGAGTGTTCTGACGCTAATATGGAGAATCCCAGTCTTGTTCCTCTTATACTGAGTGCTGCACATTTCCACACTGACTTCAGATTAATCAAGGTCTGTCTTGCATTTCTGATCTTGGCTGACTTTGATATCCTCATGTATGAAGCCTATAGTTGAGGCGATGCTGCCTAGTTCACTGATCTAATTTTTTCCTAGCTGGTCCAAAGCCAACTCCAAAAAGAGGGATGGCTAGGTGTGGGGTTAGCGATCCTATCCTGGAAAATAGACACAATCGCTAGAGAAACTTTATTTCTCCTCGAATGATCGGACTGGTGGAATTGAATTCCCAATGTTGATAACATCACGAAGCACCATCTTAACATCTGTTTCATACTAGTTTTGACCTCATCGACAGGGGAAATTGAATCTAGCAGTTAAAATTTGAATATCAGTCTTGAAATTATTAGAGGCTACTGAACTAATGGAGGTCCTGAAGTGCTATTGAGAATCCGTTTCTTATGAGGTCCATCATGTCAGACATGAAGTGGATGGCCATCGACAACACTGGTTGGCACCAATGCGTTAAACGGTGAATTGGCAGTAACTGGAATTCACAAGTTATTGAATTCCAAACACACTGACCTAAAACTCAACTGATTAGCAGGCTGAGTGCATAGCCTCAAACTAGGACGAAACAGCTAATGTATATAATCCTTTAGTTTTCAGTGATTTGCTATAATTGATTTTGTTGATTTGCGAAAACGAAATCTACAGTGAAACGAATCGAATTTCTCGCCCACCCTTTTACCGCCTAAAAAAGCCCAAAAATCTTGGATTCAAATCAATTATTAATGCCTTTATATAATGAATACATTTTCTCTCTTCCACATATTTCTATTTATTTGCAGGCTGTTGAAGATCAAAAATCGATTATGCATAAACTTCATTCAATTATCAAAATGCTAAAACAAATTAATTCAATGAATACTAATTCAATTGACAAAGATAATTCCATATATAAATCAATAGATAAAGCATTCAACATTCAACAGAATATAGATACATTAGAACAAACTGAGCAACTATTGAACATGATCAATAGTCATTCAAATCAGTTCATGTCAACTGGTAATAAATCAATTATATATGACAATCAAAAAGTACCGGCATCTTCATCATTGCACAAATGCATTGGGAAGAGATTTTATAATTTGAAAGTAAGTGAAAAGGACTGTGCTGCTATATTATTTACTTATTCCTTTATCTTCTGGCTTGAGCTTTGAATTTCCAGCTGGGGTGGTAGAGTTATGTAGGGTTGCTAACCTCACACAACCAAACTATGTTCCCTCTTCTGATTTAGTTGCAGTGTTCTCTGAGGAGCTAGTTGAAGATTTAATTGCAGAAACTTCGTTGTCCACCTGCTAGACAACATCTTCAACACAGATTTTAGTATAAAATGAACCTATTCGATGAACTGTCTATGGACGATGACATAATCGTATCTCATGCCAACCTTTGTTGTGGTGATTGTTTTTTAATTTACATCTACCTCTCTCGATTGCTTTTACTGATTTGGAATTCGAACTTCCTTATCATGTGATTTTCTCTTTACTAGTTGGTAAATTTATTATTATTAATGTTTCCTTAATTTCCTAGAGGAACATAGGCCTTCAGCCCCACGTGTCTATTGCGTTCGGTTCTCTGCTAACGTTTTCACCTAGTTCCACGTCTGCCGACATGCTTTCATCTCCTCTTCACATGACCTCCTTCATGTCACCCTCGCAATGACGACCAAATCGCTGCTTCCCGTCTGGGTTCCACTCGAGAGTCTGTCGTGTGATGTCACTTGATGGTTTCCTCAGAGTATGGACAATCCACCTTCATTTCTTCCTGTAGATCTGTTGCACAATCAGTTCCTGCTGGGTTGGTTCGCTCATTGCCAGAGATCCCTCCCTGTTGCTAATCTTTTCTGGCTGGTCATCTGATCTTGAGTGGTATTGAGCGAAGACAGCTGTTGATGAAGGTCTGTAGTTTGTTTGAGGTGCTCTTCATGACGCGACAATTCTCTGATCTGTATAGTAGCACTGACTTCACAGTGAAGTTGAAAATCCGGATCTAATTTTTCATGCTCAGTTATGCTGTTGATCTTCACAGAGACTTAAGGGAAATGAAAGCTTGCCTTGCTTTCCCGATCTTTGCTTTGATATCTTCGTCAGTTTCGCCTGAAGCTGAAACGATGCTTCTTAGGTAGGTGGGTAGGTAAAGGAGTTCGCTTCTTTCAGATTCTTCCCATTTATGCTGATCGTTGTCTGTTGTTGTTGTTCTTGCCCAGGAATCTTCATTATCTCTGTTTTCTCTATGTTCACCTGAAGTCCTATCTTCTCTGGATGCTTCTTCTGACAACTTGTTGCTTTTCACTTGCATATCTTCCAGTTTGTGGGAAATCAGACATATATCATCGGTGAAGTCCAGATCCTCCAAGTTTTTTCTGTGAGTCCGAGTTAGTAAATTTGGTCTATAGCAATTATTGTGTTTTTTAATCGCTGGCTAATTCATTCGACTACCAGGCTTCTAGAAATTCCGTGACTGCACTTTTAGTGTTTCCTCTATTTAAGATTTCTATATCACCCCAATTAAGTTGATATGAAAGAATACACTCGTTCCTTTCCACAGCTAACTTGTGTTCTTGGATTCGGACACAAAGGGGACGTCCACTGTGATCGATGTAATGTTTATCGGAGTTCATGCAATTTATTTTTTAAACAGTGTTAATCTTATTTTCTTTTTCTGTCGGATCTCTTCGTCAGTACAATACCGAAAGAAATGATTGTTTTGGTTGGCTGGTGTGCTACGTATATTTCACACGGTCTTAGTATTCTAGCCGTTAATTCTGATATATATATATATATATATATATATATATATATATATATAGTAGAGTGAATTTTCTTGTGATCTTTGATGATGTTTTCTTGTTGGCATTATGACTTGATTTTAAATACTATTTGATGAAATTGTATGGATAAGCATTCATTTTGAAGATATTTAGTAGGTATTACCCTTCCATTCTCTTCAAAGGACCTGTGTATTCGGACTCTCCTAAATAATGTCTACTTACGTTTTCTTATGTGAGTAATTATGTTGTCGGTATATTGAACCATCAACGTTCATGGCTCATAATAGAGTAGTAAAGAATTTCTACAGTACATTATGTTACTATGCCATTCGTCATCCAGTGACTTCTGAGAGGAACATTAGGCATGAAGCAATACACCTACATTCCACTTGGTTCTATAACATCACTTTCAGCTGACTAAGTGACTGCCTCCCGTCCACCCACAAGCTTACATTTCCTCGTGCCCATGTGATGTCACCTATACAACTCTCAGACACACATTAAATTTGTCTCTTTTCGTCCGGATTCCAGTCAGCACCCGAGATGGTGTATGGTGTCACATGAATGTCTCCACTTAGGGTACTTTATTAGACCCATTCGGCTCCTTTTCCATCTGCACAAGCTCTCAGCTTATTCGTTGCCAGAGTAACTCATATTTTATCCCCTATGGTCTGACGTTTGTCCTTCAACTTCAAGGCAGTGAAGAGGGGAGTGTGATAGAGGTTGATGAAAGCCTGTGTGCCTCAAGTACACGATCAGTATAGGAGTGTTGATTTGCTCGACATTATTGTGTTACAGACAGGATTTTTACGTAGTTTCATTTAAATGTATAAATTGGACATATAGCCACTGAAAGTGGCAGATATATAGAGGTTATAATTCTTTAGCCATGGGTATCTGCTTTCTGTTTCTCGTATTGGGCTGTGGAATATGATCCGTTACAATAAGATTAAGCAAAGGGTGTTAGTGGTAACAAGGAGGAATCAGGCCGCCCCCATTTAGATGGCTACAACATATGTTATGCATATCGAGCTACCGCCTGCCGCCATCCACGCACTTGGTTGGAGTTCGACTCTCGGCCTCAAAAACACTCTTTAATCTCACTTGGTTTGCTATTCATTAGTAAATCTACAAAAGAGGAATGGTTGCGAGTGGAGTTAGTAACTTCATTTCTAATGAAAGTTCAAAAGAAACTTGAAGCATTATATTCTGCTCGGAATGCAAATTAATGCCAAAGAGCATCATTGGGTTGTGGTGGTGTAGTGGTTATCATATCGGCTTTATATGTAGAAGGTTCGCGGTTTGAACCCAGACTAAGCTTTTATTTTCTACTCGGGCTTTCTACCCTTACTATCAGCCCAAGTCGCCTTTGCTGATAAGAGGTCTGAGACGATGCAATACTGCCAGCTTCGCACATTCATCCCACGTGTAAGTGACATCCACATCGATGGTAGTTATAATTCATAGGCTGAAGTGTCGAAGTCTCTCCCTTGCCAGTCAACCCATCCTTTCTGTCCGTCCCAAAGCTTCACTCCTGGGATGTACCAGCTGTTTTTTACACCACTATTCATCACTGCAAGCTGCTTTTTGATTTTGTAAAAGTGAATTTGAAATCTTTATCCATTTTTTTCTGATTGTCGCGTAAATCTCGATTACTTCCATGTTTCCCTCTGTTTGTTTTGATGTTTCCTGCTTGCTTTCTTTGAAAACTTTATAAATCAGATTGTTGCATTTTTATTTGCCTTTTGATAAGCACTCACTGCATCCAGTGTCAACTACAATGTTTACTTAGAAACAAAATACAAAAATGGTTTACTTAGTGTTTTTTATTTTGTTCTTACACATTTTGGAGTTGAAATCAACCGTAAAGTCTCATAAATTTACAGACTGTTCACCCAATCTGTGAAATGCCCCTTTGTAATAGTACTCATTTTCCACAAACCTGTTTATAAGTGTATCTCGAAACTTCCTGAAAAGATGTCTATTCTCAGTCATACCCCATCAGCACAAAAGAATTCTATGAAAGCACAAAAAGAAGACCATTCTAAAGTGTCTGAAATCGTACTTAGAGACTATTGAAACCTTTTGGAACCAATTTCACCTACAAACCTTTGAAATCAGTTTAGTCTACATACTGCTTCAACTGGAAGACGACACGGAAAAAGAAGACAGAACTAATCTCATCTATAAGGTAAGCTGCGACAAGTACGAAAAACATATAGTGGTCCAAGTAGGCATCTCCTTTTGTCTTTGCATCCATAGAAACATAACCTAGCTGTCGGAAGACATGTCATATTCATTCTTTTATATATCAGACAACAACGAAGACCAACTAGACTAAGATGTATAAATCTCAGACATACAGGGAAAGCAAAAAAATACCATGGAATTCCCAAAAGTCAGATACTCTGATGAAACTGTAACTAATGGACATTTTTGTATCCGTCAGATTTTTCACACCATAAAAAGGAAGTCACATGCATTATAGGCCTACTGCAGGGTTAACAAAATCAGTAGTACAAAAGCGGGTGACTAATATATCCGGAATCTACTAAACTTGTGCGAAGTCGCCAGGAGAGGCGGCAAGTTGATTGGTGGGGGATTCTCAAAGCTTAATTCATACTGAATACTACGCGGAGGGGATGTTGTCTACATAGAGGACAATGAAGGCTGAGAACGTACAACCTCGAACTGTGTAAATTGCTAAAGGTCAATTTGCTTTATTCTCCTGCCACTTCACGCAGGTAGCTAGAAAGAAATCGGATGGTTTCAACCCTCTGAGCTGAGTCCTACCAGATATACCGCTGGATGAACTCGATGTCAAACTGGTGAAAATGCTTTGCGGTATTTAGATCACTTTAATTCGGTTAGCAAGCACTACTAGTTGTTGTGAGAAATGTCCAACTACTCACGTCTATCTGCCAGTAGTATATAACGTCAACTACACAATTACAACAATACTTGGTGTTTTCTCGGTGCTTTTTCAATAATACCAATTTAATTAATTGATTCAATGGTCCTTCTAAATGTATGAACCATTTGGGCGTATAGAAGTTAAATAGACAGGAAGCTGTCGATTGGCTCTTTATGCTTATTAGCATCAATTAACAATAGGTATATCTAGAACCTTCAGTAAACTGATTTCCTCTCAGAGAGGATTCGAACCTCGCATACGGAGAAACTACCACTGAGCTGTTCATTATTCAAAATGTCATGTATCTAGTTTCTGATGGTGAGATTGCCGGTGAGTGAGAAACCTGGATTCACATATACTCATAGCGACCAAACAGAGAAGCATTCAAAACCAGGGAGTGACTTTTCCATTTCTTCATCATAGTTTGTGACCATTCACCAGAGCGTAATGTAACCAAGGATGGAAGCTGTGACCTCCTATCAAGCTGAGATATTTGTTGCTGCCACCAGCCAGATACCTGCAAACTAACACCTCAGAATTAATCCACTTCTCATTAGTGACTGAACACGGATTAAATTTCCTGAAATTCTAGTCATGGGACTCCGATGGGATCCATAAAGTGGGGTTTGAGGAAAAAGCGTTAGGGTTATATATATGACTCCAGCAACTGATTAGTTGGTCAATAAGACTAAAGTGGACTGATACTGCTAGCTCATTTATTGATGTCACCAGCTCATAGATTACTTGGCTGAGTGACTACCGCTCACGGAATAAACTGCACAACTCATGCAATCTGACACTGCGAAGGCATATTAGAGTACACTGCAGGTATTCACCAAAACACACCATCATCCATTAAATATGAATATGAGCCCATGACTGGATTTGGCATCCTCATCCATGTCGAAGGTGTCTGAAACAATGCTGCCAGTATGGCTGGTGAAAGGAGTGACTTCCCGCGTTGTTGGTTAATTGTCTTCATCAGACATGTCTCCTCTACGTTTAATTGAAGTTCCATCTTCGCTTCCTGCTTCTTCTGTCAGATTGTTGGTTTTCATTCACGAAGTGCAGACCTTTTATAGTCTTGTCAGCTCGACGTATTTCCCCCTTCTCTCTCTCCAGAGTCCTTGGTATGACACAGTTTACCATAACCAGAAATATCATTAGCGATAATGCGAAAGATGGTCAAATGGATTGAAAATCTGGATATTGGCAAGATTCCAACCAGGGAGACCCGCAAATTACTAACTAGCATAGAGCTCTGCGAGTTACCGAATGCTAACAAGGTTGTTATTGTGTACAGCAACTAACAAGAGTAATGAAAATACAGCCGTCAGCTCTGAATGATTGAGTCAATCGTAATCACTTACAGACCAATGGAGAGGACAGCAGGTTGGTAACTGGCACCACGGTTATCGGAGATCATGCGGATCATTCATTTTTTAGAGATATTTGATTACGAACACAAATGATTCATTGAAGAGACTGACTGTTTTCAGCGAGTTTATTATCAAGCTGTGCATTTGTATATATATGTATATATATGAGTTACTCGTAAAGATACGATAGGGTATGACTGCTTATAAATATAATGTGAAATGTGATAAAATGTTTTGTGGTTATAATCATAATTCAGGATCAAGTGATAGGGTAAATTATGTAAAATGTACAGAAGTCCATAAAATATGAGAACGAATAAGTTAGATGCTTTTTGTTCATTGAATTTAGTTGGTTTTTATAACCACAACATAACACAAGACATGGTGAATATAATTTAAATTGAATGCTCTTAATCAGTACATAATGCATCGGTGGTTCGATGGCAGAATGTCCGCTAGCTATCACACTGGTGGTCCGGGTCATCTTCCCGGCCACCAAGCACTCTTGAAAAACCTCGCGTACTTCACTAGCAACCAGTAAGCCAGGAAAAGAGGGGATGTTGTAAGTATGGTTTGCTACCTCACACTTCAAACAAAAACACCAATGTCGACTGCTGAAACTTGAAAAGAAGTTTGAAGCCCTAATGACTACGTGAAGAACAGAAAAGAATCAGAATATTGGTCATCATTTCCATAAAGCTGATGCTATTTCTTTGCCTGGTGGCTAGTGGTGGAGTGGGATCGAGAAGGAGGTGAGTTTCATCCTATGTTTGTCAAGAGCCAAACAATTACAGAATTGTTAACAATCAACGCGTTACTGAATATGCGTGTAATCCAAATTTACAAATTCTTCAGCAGTGCAAATTTCACCACCGAACCTCAAGGATTCTCTAAATGTTCTCGATTCGACTGAGAGAATCCTCGATAAAATTAATAAAAATTCTCGTAGTACCTAAAATCTTCTGAATAGTGGCCACTGGGTGCAAGTCATGAAGCTGTAGTGAAAAGTCTTTGCTGGTGGGGTATAGTCAACCATATGTGGCTGGAATGAACGCTCATCAACAGTATCAGTTAGCAGTAGTGATATATCGCGTAAATTGACAGAGGATAGAAGTCATGGATTATTGAATCCCAGTGACTAGATGGTAAATAGACTGATCTTGAAATCTGATGGTCCTAGGCTCGATTCCTGGTTCGGGAATTACGGCTGCGCACTAGTGAAGAGTCTAACACCGCTATCTACAAAAGAGCTGTCCAATATTCCCTGCTGTCTTTCTCTATCGTTCTCCAACTAATGTTCGATTGTGATTAAACACAAAACCAGAATATCTTCTTATTATTTGAATTCTTGTACTTTTAGTGTCAACAGAACAGGAAATTACAACAAGAACAAGGACAGTCACAGCAACAACAAATTGAAATTTTACAAAAACATGCGCACTTTTGTACCCAGTATATCAACAAGTTACAAAGTGAAAATGCTGTATGTAGAGTTCTTGTTAATTTTATTTTATCATATTCTATCTCCCAATTAATTTCCTATACTACTCATTAATTGATATGACTATTTAGTTGGAAGGCATTCTTGTTGAACAATACTGCTTGCTCGCTAGTCATATCGTTGAACTGATGTAAACACAGCGGTCAGCCATTTCGCTCCTCTGAAACCAAGTTATCTATTAGCGGTGTGTATCTCTTTTCGACCCAGCTCTAAAAGAACGGAATCAGTTAAAATCAGATCCGAAGTCTGGCTGGCTTAAATGTTAACTAAATTTGATTTAAATCAGCTGGTTTCAAGAATATTATCATCATTATTATTGTTGTTGTTTTAACTAATTTTTAAATGTAAAATACTTTGTACAAAATTGAACCCAGTTCAAGTTGTCACTGAATCGGTGAAGCACGCCTAAATGTCCCTCAAAGGAAAATGTGTTATCTCCATGCTTCGAATTTATTAAATTCGGAAAAACATTTGATGGAGTTGACTGTGAAGTAATCTGGAAACTGCTTCAACCCTGCATCACACTTACAAACCTCATTCAGTAGCTATTTGATGATGCCACATTCCAAGTGATTCACAATGTAATAGTCTGGGAAGCCTTTGCAGTGAAAACGAGAAGCAGTAAGACAAAGCTGATTCATCTGCGTTATCTGCAGATTAATGGTTCTATTTGATCCTATTGTTTAACTATTCATCCAAGTAGTTAGCCAGATTTCAGTTAGTTTGAAGTGATCTTTGTATTTGACCTCACTCGGAAAGGGTACTAGCCAGTGTGCTACCGAATGAATGAAACGGCTCTCCAGCGTTTACATCACTTCTATTTGGCTGAATAGCATGCTCTACTGGTTGATGTGAATTGTTTTCAACTAGTTGTGTCAATAAATCAACCTCACAGTCATGCTTAATTTTTTTAATTTCCCCTTATGGCAATATCAAGAAGATAATGTACAGGACTTCATATAATCCTTCCCATTGACAAACTTAAACGAAAGGAAGAACGGAAAATGTGCACCAAGATGATATGATTTCATATCTTTTCATTTAGAAGATTCTTTTCCTAACTGGCTACAACCTGAACGATTATTATTATTACTGTTCCCTTGAGTGCTTCAACAACATATCTCCACTTTTTCCTATTTTATGCCGTCCTCTTCGGCTGAGCCCACAATGCCCATAATCTATCATCTTCTACTCATCCTCACACGACCTCCTCTTTACCACCCTAGGACTACCCATTCGTCACTTCCCATTGGGTTTTCCCTCTAGTTATGGCCTGGCGCGCGATGTTATCCGAAAGTTTCCTCAGTGTGTCCTCAATCTATCAACATTACAATAAGTTAAAATAGGTCATGTTTAGATTAGACAATAACACTTTCTGAACAGGTTTTCTTTTGCCTTAAATCATGATGATTCGCAAATTACGAATGTGAGGCCATGGCTTCTGTTGATTTTACAGTAAGCTGTACCTGGGGGATTTTTACATTTCTGATGATTCTCAATCTTCATTTCTGAGAAATATTAGGTCCGCTTAACACAGATTGGCTAAGAGTAAAATCAGATGAAACGTTTGCTGTGTTTTGAAGTTTCTTTACTGACTGGATTGATTTTCCGAGGTAGGGTCGCTAGCCAGAGGCGCAACCTTTATCCGTGCTTAGGATGGGCTAGTAAACTATGAGAGGTTGCAGGTTGACTACTTTCATCAACACATGCCTTCTATCCATGCTGAGGATCAGATAGCCACCCAGAAAGAATAAACACCAAGTAACTTAAAAAACAAACCAAGGAGGAACCTATTGGCCAAACAAAATATGCCGAAGAAGATGGATGGATTGGACATATTCTGGGGAGACTGCTGAATGATATCACGCGTCTAGCAGAATCTCAAGAGGAACCGAAATGGGAAATGATGAGTTGAACTTGAGCTTGAGGGTGACATGGGTGAGATCCTCTGAGGAGGAGATAAAAATGTATGTTCAATTGTGAAGCCAGCTAAATAGGACTGAAAAGAACAGAGTGAAACTGAGATGTTCGGCTTGGAGAGTAAGGGGATAATATTGGTAGTGTTAAGAATAATATACGTTCACAGTTATAAACAGTATGGCTCTGCAACATAGAAACACTTGCCGGGGTCTGACTGCCACCACATTTCTTGATTTAAATTTGTCATCTGATTCGATCAATAATACCTATTATGGTAGAATTTTCTTGTAGTAAATTTTGTGCTCGGGGGTGATTAGCTATGTAACTGAACTAAGCCTAAAAAGATGAGAAAATGATACTACATAACTGATTTAATCAATATGTATTTCATTGTATATATACAATGAAATTAAGGTTATTGATCTTATTGGTCACATCACTTTTCAGCGAAGTGCCAACAGTCTTAAAGGGCTGAGTACCGATCACATCTTAGCGCATATACAGAGAGCTTGTTTCTCATACACCAACTTGCATCCTCTTCGGCTCAGGCAAGATACATGACTGTTTGTAAGAAGGCATGTTTAGAGATTTAGTATCTTGTTTTGCTTTCTTCTACAGTTGATGAGATAGGTGTATTATATTTTGATTGCTTATTTTAAGCCTAACCCATAGATGCTATTTTGATATGGCTGTCGGGCTTACATATCCCAACCACTCAAACATCTGTACTGGCTGGAACGAGTATTCCAGAGGGTCCTACCATGTTATCAAGGTTGGTTGATAAGCTATGTGCGTCGGTGGCACAGTGGTTAGGACTCTCGCTGACCAACCACATGGTTTGAGGTTCGATCCCCCGCCGACGCACACCTGATATCTATGGTTGGCCTGCAAAATTTGGGCTACCGATATCAAATGCTGAAAATTTCATACTTGTACCAAAATACTGTGTGAAATCAAGCTATAATAAAAATAAATAAAAATAAAAAATATTAGGGTTAAAACAATAACCATTATGTGGATTCCTGAGTGAGAATTTGTGCTGATGAAGAATGCAGCTGTAACTGTAGTAAGGTGCCTCGTTCAGATGACTAACTCTATATCTATGTTACCTCTTAGTTCTTTGAACGTGTTTAGAAAAGGTAGACCTTGAAAACTGTATACTTTGGTTTACCCCAAGGTGCTCTATAGTCGTTGGTAAGGTGTTCGTATTCAGAAAACTTTAAAAAACGGCTTGGAACAGGCCATGTGTCACCCGCTTTTAGCAGTTGTCTCCAAGGTTCTGTGGCTACCTAATACTAATACTCCTTCCGTTTCAAGTATTTCAAGAATAATTCAACTTCCACAGTGTGTACAACCAGATAGTAATTGCTACCACAATACATGCTGAGAATCATTCATCTTGAAGTTATATTAAGTCAAGCAATAAAATGATGATTAATAAGGTTAAACAGAGATGGAGTTTCTATCAAAATGTTGGCTGAACTGTCTCTTGATACGTGAAATACATCAGTAATACATCATACAAAATAACTAGTTCATTTCATTAGTTTGGAGTCGTTTCAACAGTAATATGGAATAAATAAAATAATGTTCATGAAGCAGTCGACAAGGTTGGGAAGCTGCATGGACTGAGATGGCTTGGACACATGGTATGCATGCTAAGCCATCACTTTCTTCGTTGAGCAATGTGTTAGCTCGCATAGAATAGGGTTGGAAAAGTTGAACGCATGGTCAAATAAAAAGATGTCATCAACTTAATGAATTGATGACATTTGGTATCAAGTGTCTGTTGAGTGAGGCTGATGAAGATTTGGGACACTGTTTAGTACTGACCTAGTTTCCATGTATATATATATATATATATATATATATATATATATATATGGAAATGAATACTCACTTAGTTAGGTATATAATTGCGTTCATTATTTAGTAACTTTTCGGATCATTTTATTACATTGTTTTATGTCCTGTTTTATGATTATTTTATTAGTTGTCATATTAAACTAGATATTGGAAAATAAGTTTATTATTCATCATATAGGCTGAGCTTTGTTAAAGAGGAAGAGAAACAAAGCATAGGGACTATCCTGTTATACTTTTGGTTTACAAGCATTTCATTGATTTTGAGTTTGAACTCAGACAGATATCAATTACAAGATCGTTCATAAGGAACCAGAAGTTAGTACTGGCTTTCTGTTAACTAGACTGTTAGGTGTTAATGTTAAGAATTGTTCTACCCTTTTTCGTTCCGTGTGGAACATAAGGCAGCAGGCTTCAACTTTGAAGTTTCAGTAGCAGTGGGTGTTTTTCAGAGATTAGGGTTGCTACTCTTACACCCCTAACCTTCCCTCTTCAATGTGAGGGAAGTAGTGAGTCGGCCGGAAAGCAAACCTCGGCCCACCTACACGGCTGAATAGTATTCTGCTACTTAACCGCCGAAAGAGTCTTGGCTGATAGCTAAACTAAATTCTGATCCTTTCACTTTGTGCAGAGTTCTGCTGTAGATCTCCACACCAATATCAGAGTAATAATAAGGCTAAAAAGTTCCGATAGAAAGTAAGGTTAAATTCAGCTTTCAATTTCATGTTTTTATCTTGTTTTTTTGTGCTGTTTCACACCGGATTATTTGACTGACTTTTATCCACACGTTGGAGAGAATAACTACAGGGGACAAAATGTACCCCTACACATCACAAAAATACTCAGTTATAGCAGCAACAATCGAATAACACACACACACACACAAAAGAAGCAAAGCACGGAAATTATTCAAACCAGCCAGGACACAAAGTGCTAACCTTGACTTGGTAGGAGAGCTGAAGAGAAATTTATTATGACTGCTATCATAAGAAATCAGATTACACCAGCAATATATGTGTTTACACATATTATGTTTACCAGAATGCAAATGTGTAGAGATGTTTATGTTTATAACAGCTGTCAACATTGTCAGAATAGTTGACTGAAGATGATCAAGGATAATAATAATATTTAAATAATAATTAATTAATAAAAATTCCAACATACTGAGAACACTCATGAATGCCTTCACTTCGGCGAAGCCCTCCCTCCAGACTAAGGCTTAGGTGTGCAACCACAAAAGGATAGGCTTATAAAAGGGAACTTCTGTG